CGTTTTAATCAGAGAAAAGCCCCGAGCCAAAAAAAAACAACGCTGATCGATCAGCGTTTCCTCGACAACGATCATCTCTGACCGGGCGTTTTCACAACACGGTGTTGTAAGTGGGCATCCATTAATGTCTCTCTTTGATCTCCGCGTGGAAATCCTATTTCGGCCCGGTATCGGCTCGCGGCCGTATCGAGACCGACGTTGCTCTGCGGAATTTTCACACTGTCGATGACCGGAGCGCTAACCACAACAGAGAGCCGGAGGATCGGCATCGCGAAACTAGGAAATCTAGCCCAAAGTGCTTTGAACCCTGGAAACGTATAAGATCTCCCTCGCGAGATCCGAGCGGAACGAATTAACAAATTGACCGTCTGATTCCTATCTCTGCTTCGTTAATTTGCTCGATCGTTGCGTTAAATTGTGTCAACCTTTCGGCAACATAGGTTAAACGCGTACAACCACCTATTCTCGATTAATCTATAACCAAACTGACCTTCGCATCCCGATGGTGTACACTAGCCTCTGCCACGGCGCGTCCGACAAAGAGTTCCGGCGGTAGAACAGAGAGTGAGGGAAATGGAGAGAGAAACAGCGCAGCGGTGAGGGTGTTAACGAAAATCGATAACACGCTCCACGCGAATGGTAAGCTTTTACGCTTTCCCCGATAAATTCGATGATAATGATGAAGGGGCCACGAGGTAGGCGAATTCTCGGAACAGCTTTTTGAGATGTGTTGATTTCGAGAACCTTGGACTGCCAAATGGTTGAAATTTGGTATACGCAAAATGAAATCCGCGGAAACAGCCATCGGCAGGATTAGGAAATCGAATGATAGGCAGGGCGAATGGTTCAGAAGTGGTTTACTAGCAAAATAGAGAAACGGATCGGACCCGCGGGGAATCCGAATTTCGAGGGAATTATCAGACAAAAGAGAGAGAGAGAGAGAGAGAGAGAATTCAGGCGTGTGCGTAGAGCTGTGAGCGACAGACCGGAGAAAGTTCAAGGCTCAAGGCATCGATTCTCTCCTAGCTGGTGAGTCGCGGAAACGTGGCGGAGAGCGAGAGAGGGCAAAGCGGGATAGAAATAGAGATCGTGCAGGCAAACGAATTGGGACGGAGAGGTCGCGGGAACGAGGAAATTGAGAAACGGTGCAAAAAATGAAGAATATCTCTGTCGCCGATACGTTCGGGCGATCGCCGACGTAGGCGTCATTGTCGTTTTCCCCCGAAAGTCACAAAACGGGAAGAAGAAGCTCGAACGGTGTGAGTCGAACCCTGCTCGTGTAGTTGGGTCTCGAATGAAGAGGGTGGCGTTTGGATCAATACCAACTGCCCCTATTCTTTGCCCGTGTATGCACAAGCTGTAGTTTCGTCGCGGAACGCACCAACACGAGCACGTTACACGAGCCCGCGTTCGCGCGCGCTGTCCGACGAGCTGACTCTCTCTGTACCCATACATGACGCAGCATACGTGCACGTGGTACCTATAGAAAGTACGATCAGCTTGGCTTCGCAGTCGTAACCCGTGACTCGCGACGAGGCGAGGCTTCGCGCGCCGATACTGTAACGGTTCTCTTCACGGGAGGTACGCGTCTGACCACGCACGGGGCTGTACCACTGGCCGGACTCGATGCGCACCGCATAGGTTCCACTTGTTGGATGACATTAGCGTTGCGTGATCCGCTCGCGATTTAACGATTCGCGAGAATCGCTTCAAGGGATCTGTGGAAATGACGATTTCACGGGAGGGGCTGGTACGCGCACGCGATGGAATCGATCACCGGCCGTTCGATATTGAAAGTTTGGTTTTAATTAACGTCGAACGAACCGAGCCATGGGCCCGATGTGTGTTCCGGCGTTGTACCGTGGGATTTCACGCGACTGATTTCCCTAACAGATCCAGGTTTTCAATTTGTTCCACGCGTGTCGGCGGGTTTTCTCTAACGAGATCACGCAATTTCTTGATTCCTTTCACCGTATCGCGCGGGCAATTAACCGTAACTAAATGTGTTAAAATGTATTTACAATTTTACCCTTTTTCCATAGATTTTCCTTTTACAGCTGAACGACATGCGATTGTTCGCGATACGATAAACGATATTTCCTGATGGAATTACAAGGTTTTATCAACGCCCGTGGCTATAGAATAATTCATAGAGAATTTAATATCGCTTCCGCGAACCGGAAGATATCCGTGTGATCCGACGCAGTGAAAAGTATTACCTTGCATTAATCGACTCTTTTCACTCTTTCCGCTGCAGATAGCTACTGCTACTTGATAGATTTTACCAGGTCAATGGTCATACATCATCTGGGAAACACCGGGTGTGCGCAGAAGTTGCACGATAATATGATGATCGCGTATATCGTTCGACGTTATTAGGGATGACATTTGTCAGCCACTCGAACGTCCAGCATCTCCAATACATATTATACCGACCCACGAACTGACCCATCGGCTGCATCCTCCATATATAAATTCCCAGGGAATCGAGTAGACCGACAGTTTTTTACGTCCGGCTATTTCTGTCTTCTTTAGAATCACGAGTCGTCCAACGTTCGAGCTTGATGGAACGCGCGATGATCCCGAGCTTTTTCGTGAATGGAGAAATCTTTCTCGCGTGCCAAGCGTTCGACATACCGTAACTTCATTATACGCTCGACGGATCAACGAGTTCACGCCTAGACGACCCGTGAACGTTCCGACTTTAATTTCAAATTCACCCCTCGACTCGATCCGATAAGCAATCAACGCTTGGAGATAATTTCTAATTGATCCGAGTTATAAAAATAATTTATTATCGTGTATAAATATATATGACCTTACACCTTTTAATTTATGACACGGTGCCACGTGGTAGTAAGAGCGGTTGATCAACTTGCTCATAAATTTCAGAATGAAATGGAACAGCCTCGCTATATAAACCCTTCGATCACGACTACCCGAGCCTCGAAACAACTTCAAACTGTCTGAGATACATTAGGCGCACAATCCGCAGAGTGTTCGGATTCTCTTGAGAAATTGCACGTCACATGCATGCACGGTGCACGCGACTCGCGACACGGCGAAGATTGCTCGACGTCGCGTCGCGAAAAATCCCACGGCTTCAGAAATCGCATTCAAACATTGCCGAGGAGATGTAGCGATGATACTGCCAAATTGGATCTGTCGCATTCGTTAACGCTCATCTCCGTGGCTCATCGTTTGACAGAGACGAATCAAATGTATCTTCCTCGTACATAAATAAAATTACCGAACGCTTCTAACATCGCACTGATCTTTTTCCGATGAAAGCGTGCCAACGAAGCTAGATTTTCCGGCCGGTATGAATCGACTGCTGATCGAGCACGAATCGCGTAAATTGCTCGCAGCACTCGACTAGTATACATTTCGTTCATTGTACACGATATTGTGCTAATCTTCGGAGCCTGAATTTGCGTGGCGCAATTTATCAACCTGCCCCGAAGGGAAAATCTGCGCGCAAATGAACATTTCCGAGAAGGCATTGAAAATAGGAAATGAGAGAATTATAGTCAGAATTTCTACAAATTAATACTTTATGAATTTCCTGATGGCGTTTCATGAAATGCTCTGAACGCAATTTCTTGATAAGTTTCGCCTGTATACGGGAATTAATTTCGCTTTATTCGCCAATATACGACCTTCGTATTTTCATCAGGAACATCGCATCTAATAAACAAGAACTGACCATGACGCAATATATTGCTAATCGAGAATTAATATGAAGTGAACGGAAATAGAATCGTACGTAGTTTAGAAATGTTACTGGATCTCTGGTACTTTTAATATCGGAACAGATATAATTTTTCTGCACGGCCGGAAAAAACAAGTTGGCTATTTTTATCGGAAAAATACGCGAGTGATGTGTACATATCGTTTCTGTATTTGATCTTTCTATTTCAATCCGCGTTATAAAAACGTAAAAAACAAAGGGCAAAAACATATCGGGATATGCGGAGTTCTTTTGATAAATTAAATCTATAGAATCCGATTCGGATCGCAGCGATTTAAAGAATCCCATTGAAGTTTTCATGCGTTCGTAGTAGATATATATACGAGAATGGCTCGAGAGGCAGAAATCCCGATGGAAAGTCGAGGTATAGGAGTCTCGGTGCAATGGACCGAGCTCGAGGAGTTACTCACGGAAGTGTTGAACGACATCCATCGAGTGTGCGTCTTGTGTTCAATTTCATTTCGTGTAATTTCTTAACGATTTACACTTGTTCACGCGGAGACAGGAATAAAACAAGAATCCTTTTCCGTACTGATTTTCCCTTAATTAACTTAATGGATTGTGTATCTTCCGATATCACGTTCCATTCTCGGCAATTAAGCCCTAGCAGTCCTGCCTTATTTTCATATATCTGGCTTATTGATTCGTTTCCCTCACGCACTCGTAATTAGTCGTATCGTAATAAACTCGAGATTACCGTGATTATTATTATTATTATTATTATTATTATTATTATTATTACTGTTACTGTCGCAGTTATGAACGAGTAAGTAATTAACGAACAAGCTATTCGACTTGCATGTTTCATCCGATAACACGTAACAGCGGTTATAAATAAATTTATTTACAACGTAACTGATCAATTTAGTATCTGAGCGACCAAGCTTCGAAATATTTCTTTGTCTCGACTGTCTTTTAATTCTGGTCCACGGAAATTATTCTCTTTCCGGTATAGCAAGGACACTCGTTCACAGGAAATAATGTCTTTTCCAATCATCGCCGCGAATCGCAGTTTATTCAGTTAATTTGAAATAGTACTTAGTACATCGAGAAAAATGAAGACCAATGGTAGGAAATGTTGCGTGCGAACAGTTACTACCCACATCGATACGGTAAACTCAATTATTGGAGAAACGTTTCCGTTCAAAAACGGAGGTGAACTCCGATCCAGTGTATTAAATAAAAATGGGTATCGACGTTTGTTTGACACGCAGAGAAAATATAAAAAAACGTGTAAACCGTTACTCACGTTCTCCTCGATGGTCTTCTTGACTTTGGCACCAGCCTCGACCACGGTCTTTCCAGCCTTGTTCACGGCACTGTACAGAAATCCGCCCAAGCTCTTAGCACCTGCCAGCGCCTTCGTCGAAACTGTGGCAGAAACGAGGGAAAAGTAATGAGCGCTGGGTGGTAAGTCGTCCAGTTCGCTGAAATTTAATGGGGTTCACTATAAATGTAACGTGTCGTGAACAGACTTATCCTCGCGTAAAAGAGATCCGGGTTTGGCCCACGGCCTCGAGATCTCTACCGAGAATTCTACGAAACCCTCGCGCTCTGGCCCCTGCCAGCAATTTTTTGGACGTATGGTGCAAGTTTTCAGAACTTCATGCAATTTTGTATCGGTCAATCATCGACCTCGCAGTGAGGAAAAGCTCGTAGAAACATTTATTTGTTTCCTAAACATGGCTCTCGTTAACTCTGTTACATAATAGCAAACTCAAGGCAAAAAGATATCTATAAAATATCGAATATCGTCGAGGCCGTTTCACCAGGCTGCGGTTCGTTTCGCGTATCGCCTGCCTATGTATGTTATGCCCTGTGTGCGACATTTGTAAGTACATGTATCGTGACGAATCGTCGACAGTTACTAATTAACGCACTGCTCGACAGATACAAATTCCTGAAATCGAGCCTGTCTTCGCGTCTGGCTAAACCATGAACCTGTTCATTACGCATTCTATCTGTTCGCGAAGATGACAAACAATTCTAAACGATATTAATTCATGGCAATGTAGGAGATATTTCATTATTTAAGATAACAGAAGAGGTTCAGTAATTTATACAAAGGGTAATTTTAAGGGATAATTAAGGATAGTTGAAGTTGAATAAAGATCCCATCAGTTCGCTCGCACCTTTTCTAACGACCTCCAGGCGAAATTTTGTTCCCCTAGCGCGTGTTTCGGGCATCTGGCATCCAAGGTGCCATCCGACAGAATATGATACGGTACGCAGAATCATATTAGCCTAATCCTCGTGTCGCCTCAACTTCAAAACGGATTGGTTCTTTTTTAATAAATTCCCTCGGGAGCTAGAATCCTTGCACGGGGTATTTTCCACGTTATCCGATACCGGGCAGCCTGTATCTCCGTCGCTCACGATTGTGAACAGCGGTTTGAACTTGACGATGAAAAAATGAACCACGAACCTCGGCGTACGAACATAGGATGTAGCCGAACTAACGGTCGCAGTGACTCGGTTCTTGACGTCAACCGAGGCCGATTCAATCAAGCAAATTGAGCCACTTCGACTACTCGCGCGGCTTCTCCTCGCTGTTTCACCTCGAGCTTATCTCTTCGACGTTTTGTCTCTTCTTCCTATTTACTTTCTTCTCGATTAAACGTAGCTCGAACGTAGGAAATCCTGGCGTTTCCAGTGTCGCGCGATTAAATTCACGGCCGAACGGGGTTTAAAAAGAATAGACGCCGCTGGCACGGTACCAACGATCGCCGAACAGGTGCCAAATGTCGTACGAGCCTTGCATCGCACACAACTTTTCTCTGTTAATTTGTTGGTTGCCGGAAAATTTATCGCCGACGCGAATACCAAGGGAAATAATAAGAAATATTACGCGGCTGTGACCCCGTGTTGTTTCATCGTCGATTAATCGATAGAATGCACCAGCTGTGTCTGTAGCTCGTTGAAATTTTCCTCCGGAACGAGCTCGAGATTGGATTCACGGGCGGAGCTGATACGGTAACACTAACACCCTTCAACGGGTTGCGCTCTCTTATCGGCAACGCTTACACTCGTACATTCTTCCACCGTGTGACACTTGTGCGCTATTTTTCATCGGTTAGTTACTGATAATAGAGCACCGAATCTTCACGGCGTGTAACGGGTTTCTGATTTGATTCGGGAACGACGAGGCGAGTTTTTCCAGCGGCGACGTAGAAATTGAGGGAAAAATGCTGGGAACGTGACGCGCGATTCTTCGCGAGACGCCAGACTGAGCTCTACAGTCGCTGGCAAACGTACAGAGCGCAGGAGAGGGAACGATGATGACGGCGACACGAGTCGCATAATCGGTTCACGGTAACTAACTACGAGTCGGGAGTCTTGTGATAAAACGTATGAGTCGCTTGTTTGTCTACATAAATTTGCCTCGCTCGTTTTAGATTGGAAACGGGTCATGGAACTACCTAAGGGAAGGGACCTTAAAGATTGAAAGTTCCATTTCGGAGAAAGCTGTGTGACACCGATGGGATTAACGTTCTAACGATCCGAAGCGCAGCGACTGAAATTTTCAGCAAGCCTGCAAATTGTTTTCCAACTCTATACCGGTAAATAACCTTTTACTCCGAGCACAGGACAGTCCTTTCAGGACAGTTTCAGCAGTCTTTGTTTTAATCAAATATTATATAAAGTCAGACGACGGAGACCCGAGAACTGTTTTTGAGGAAACACGGTATCTCTTTCACTCTATAAATAAATATACAAAAATCAATGATAATCTTTTTATAAATTTTCTTTATCGTATCCTCAAGATGATTGTATATAACTTACAAACTTAACTCTGAAACTTACAGGGGAAGAAGTCCTATGAGATCATACTTTTGAGAACGAGTCTTACACATTTTTATGTCATAGACGAAACAGTGATAATGACTACAGGGAGAAGGATCTCTCGAGCATGGTACATACGATCGTTTAGTTCATTTCGAGACCGGCAACTTAAGAGAGAGCCCTGAGAAAAATTTAAAATCAATTCGTTGCGTTCTTTACTTCACTTCTCATTATACCTGCTTCCCTTAAAACAAACGCAGTTCTCGTATTTGATTCATTTTGTTTAATTATCTAGAAACGAGCTTGCTCTCGCAACACAATTTCCTATGAAATAGGATATCTTGCCTTCTTTCACCAACAGAAAACTACACAAAATTACTGCGATGCTTTTCAGATTCCGTGTATAATAAAGCTAAATAAAATATTGTACACTTTTCTTGAACAGTTGTTTAATTGCTACGATTCCAGTTACGATTTCAAAAGCCCTTGCCCGAAGGAATGAAAGAGAAATTAGACGACGTGCCAACTGGCATTTAATCAAACATCGACCTTGCGCCTTCAGATAACCTCGTACCAATTTCACCAGGAAGTCAAAAAGTGGGTAGCGGATAAAAAAGGACAGCAGAGTCGGGGTTAAGAAGAAGACAAAAAATTCTTTTAGTAAAACCGCTTGAATCGCAGTTCTCTCTGGAGCACGTACTCCTGTTATCGTGGGTACGTGCGACTCTTTAAAAACACTAGGTAGGCTCCCGCCGGCTGTTCCGTAGGGACTGCATAGACGTCCGATCCCGAGGATACGCTACGCTCGGTCTCGGCGAAACGTATCCAGCAGTAAATAATGGCACCGACTCGTTCCTACGGCTCGATGACATAATAATCCTACCCAAGCTAAATCGCGTTGAAACGGATTCACCGTTTGACCCTGTCGTCTCGATCCCCGTTTCTCCGTTGGCGGTGATCGCGCTCGATTTATTGCGACCCGGGAAATCGTTGCTCCAGTGCATTGGTCTCTGCCCGGGAAATCTTCAACGGGCATTCTCGTGGAAACCGAGCACACCCGTAATTCGACCGAGTATTTGTCGTCCTCGAACGAACTGAAGGACGAGCTCCGTGTTTCTTTGCCACGTTACGCCACTGAGCGTTTAAACGAGAGGGTCGTTCAGATGGAAGAGGATACAAGCACCTTGCTATTCTCGAATTTCAATCATCTATCTGGGGAGAACCCTGGGGACTAATAATCCTCGGTGTCGTCGAACTCTGACCCCGTCTTCCGGAACGTCGATCAAAGACCCTCTTTCTGCTTGCACCCGGGGATAAGCTCGGGTCTTATTTTTGCAAAAGCCGAGTTAACAACAAAATTTTTGCCTTTCCTCTTTGTCGAACAGGTTCGATGCTCTACTACAAAATTCCCCTACAGCGTTTCATTCCCCTGGAGCTCGCACCGTTGGGGCGATACCATGGCGAGAGACTCTCGCTCGTGGCTGCGTTTGAATAACGTCGAAACACCAACGTGGAAAAGTGCAAGGCTAGACTTACAGGCGTCCGTGATTAATTCTAGTGGCAGCTGCTCGAACGGAGCTCGTTAGCATCTTCGATCTGACCGCAGTAATCCCTTCTAGTCTCTCTCGAACGAGAGATCGAGTGTAAAAAGTAGCGAACAAGCGTAGCTAATTTTCGGGTTGAAAAAGAAAAAGAAGGTCGACCATCGACGGTCAACGTTCGAGCGACGAACGGGGAAATTTGTTGGAAAATCAAGTGTCAAAGAGCGCAAGGTCGAGATTACACCGGGCGAACGTTGATTAAAACCTGGCAACTGCTCTCTTTCTCTCCGGTTGGCTCGACAGAATAATTAGTGCGTACAATTAGCCCGGCTCCGTGAAAACGGCAAGATTTAACGATTGTTTGTCAGAAACCAACACAATTTTCCAGAGTCGAGATTAATGTTTCCCCTGGAACCAACTTTGCAACCTCCATAGGGGAGGATCGATGTCAGAGCCTGGTTAAAAAGACTAAAAAATGAATCTAAGATACCCTGTAAATTTTTTCTCCTATCAAAAGAAATGTCACAGACTCAAGAAACGGGATAAGAAGAAGCGTTGGTTCTACGTTATGTTTCGGTGGCGTCCCGGCCAATGAAAACGCATCGGTCGCGTGCAACCTTGACCCAGCGAAGTGCAAACCACGAGCGGAAAAATTTGCGAAACCGGAGGCAGAGGCCACCGCAACGATTTTTACCCCAAAATTCGTCGACGCAGATAATTTTACGCGGTATCAATCTGTGCCCGGATGTTTCGTACGCATGCAAGCGAGCAGCCCGCTCCTCTTCCTAACGCGTGTGGGATTTGAATTTCATCGGTGGAAATTCCATCCGCTTTCCGGCTCGCTTTCATACATATGTACACGTGTATTCTCTTCCACGTTTCTCTCCTACGTCGCTTTGACCGCAGCCTTGGTCACCCGCGTTCCCCGAAGGAAAATCTAGAAAAATCGACGCCGTTCGAATTGAGCTCCAGGGTGTTCGTAACGTGATTCGTAAAAAATAGAACAACGGGAACCGGGGAAGAGCTCAGGGAAAGACGAAGCACGGTTTCCGTCGTTTCGATGTGCACATCGTGGATTCGCGCTGATTTCCGAGAGAAAAGCAGTTTGGGCAGTTGTATTGATCGACGAAAATGGGGTCCAGCCCCTCGATACGAAGAACGTCGTCTACTTGCTGACTGGATCTGGTTACGCTCCGGGAAATTTCGCGGCGAACAGTTTGTGACCAACCCAGGGATCCACCCGCCCATCGAGGCTCTCCCACGCAGTTATTACACTTTATATCTGTATATATCATATGGCAGGCGCGTGTACTCGGCCACCGCGGGACACGAGCTGTGCCTCACAGGCCTGAAGGCACGTTCTTCACGATGGTTTATCAGATATCGACGACGCATTTCGGTACCCGAGGACCGTCGACCCACCACGAGCTCTTTCCGAGTTCTCAGCTGATTAACCCTTGCCAAACATCATAATCCAACACAAAGAATGTGCACTCTGCTTGAAATTCGTTTTACGGGTACTTCTTCCGTCTTCTTTATCCTCTCTTTGTACAGCAGAGAAACTTTTCTGCGAACAACTTCTCAATTGTATTCGAGGACGTGTCTAATTTTCTTGGCTGGGAATGAGCACGGGATGTCGTCACCCCGCCGAATGAGTTTGAATCGGGCAACGGCATTATGCAACGGTTGTTTCGGTTTCGACCAACTTCCTTCCAAAACTAATAACACTAGGGAGATTGCTTCCAATCTATCGCGTCCAGCAAACAGGAACAACATGTCCCATTCGAACGACCGGAGGCTCTATCTTTCGCGACTAAAGACTTTGCACTCCAGCCAGAGCTTCTATAAACTCTTCGACCTTCTTACTTGCTGATTAAATGCGCCCTACTAATGTTCAAAAGTCTCCTCTCGCTTATCTCTTTTGACGGGTTTATTCGACCTGTGAAAAGGGGACGAGGAGAAAACTCTTTCGTCCCGTGCTTCCATCGTTGAAATCTGTACGTTCACTCCCGGGAGTACTACGACTACAAACGAGACGCGAGAGCTAACCGCGAGAAAACGGTCTCTCCGAGAGGTTAATATTACATATCTCGCGTCGTTCGAGTATGTCACGAGGAAAGGTGCACGCGCTGGTACGTTTGGGAGAGCAATAAAAGCTACCATAAACGCTCGCTACGTGGGCATACGACGGTCCAAAGCGATGCACTGAACGCTTTCCAAGGTGATTGATTTTTCGATTGTAATCTCCGCAGAAAACGCAGTTCAAAACTGTTTCGGAATCCAGCTTTATGCCACGCGCCGTTATAGTATAGATTTTTACGACTGCCACGAAATAAAAGGTCATACCTTGTTCTCCGTGTAACAAGAGAAGAGAATTTGAATGCGATACGAGGTTGAGAAAGATACTCCTTACATTATATTACGTAAAATCGATTGTACGATATCAAAGACAAAAGTTGCGTTCAATCGAGTCTCGCAGGTGGGGAAGCTCGATTCACTCGGCGGACTCGCGACAAAGGGCATACAGTTATGCAGCAAATTTCGTCCTTTTCCACCGATACGAGAAATGGGATTGCACGGGAAGTCTGAGCGATAAGCGGATCGTTACGTAGGTATCTCGGGGAAAATATCTATACGCGTTTCTCTCTAATTTTGTTATCCGCGAAAGCAAATTATACTGCGACAAAGGCGACTGCATGTTACAGAATTTCTGTTGCTGAATATTTTGCAATCGGGGAAAATGGTCGACGAGTGGAACGAGTGTCAATCAATTCGACCATGTCCGCGGACAGGTCGATGACCGACACGATGCCAGATTAAAGTTCCGACGCGATATATATATATGTATGGACAAGCCTATAAGGAACGACGTTGACCGGTCAACAATGGCTTTTAAATATTTCAATCTCCGGTAACAACCGCGAAATGCCTCGTGTCCAGATTTTCATAAGCGACGAATTGTTTTTACCTCGAACGTATCGAACAAAACAAGTAATTACAATGACTTGCGGAGTTCCTTTATGTAACGCTGTGCTCAATATTTCAATTAAAATCTCGCGTTGTTTACTGACAGTGAAATAATATTGACAGAACATTTTTTCGCAAGAAAGACACGAGGGCACTCGAAATACTGAAGTTGAACATGTTTGCTGCGCCGGTATGTTCTAATTTAAGCACGGAGAGCTTTCGTTATAAACAAATAATTAATTACAAAAACTTGAAAGCGGTGGGATTGTCTCACGTGGAGTTACACGAAACGGTTTGCAAATTAAGGAGCAGGACTTCATTATCTCACGCCGTTCGGCATCAATGGAACCGACATGGTCTAACGAGGCACCGTGTTTCAAGTTATTGCCACGTATCTCACGTCCAAATATCTTGCGATATTTGCGTTAAATCGAGCTATTTTCATATTTTCGCTTACATTCTCGTTCGTTTGCTTCCGCTAGACACGCAAATATTTTTCACGCGCAGGTATGTAGAAACGAGTTTCCCAAATAGTAGGCAATCCGCGATAATTGAAAATGAAATATTTCAACCTCCGATAACAAATATTATTGATAAAATCTACGGAAGGAAAATTTCGCTGTCCCTACAACCCGAGGGAAAAATCGCGTTGCCGTACTTGGGAACGAATAAAATTCGGTTTAAAAACATACGCGCTCGAAGAGATGGTTCCGTCGCGACGTAAAATATGACTCGAGTCGCAAGAAAAAATGAAGAAGAATGGAGAGAGAGGAGAGAAATAAAATGGAGGAAAAAACGTGTGAGAAACTCACCGCCGCCGAATGCCTGTCCGTTCTTATCCTCGGATGGAGAGCCTTCTAAACTCGCGGGACCACTATCCGCGCCGCCAGTAGCACTGTAAATAAAACGAAAGGAGCACACGAATAAA